CGTACCAGGCTTTACAGGCTGCTCCACAACAGAGGGAAGTGAGAGGGGTGTATATTTACCATTGAAATACACTACTAACATAATTAATCTAAGAAGAGACATTATAATCCAGCTGGTTTATCATGATATATTATTGACAGTTGGAAAGGTGACGTATGCCTTTGAACTTCAAAAGTTTAGGCCAAAAAATAACAGACCTGACTTCTAAACAGAATACAAAATATTCCTGTCTATCAAAATACTCAGTGAAGAAATTTTTGCAGGATATTTCATATCTATAGGTTATTTTTTCTAAGGTTAGTAGTAAAGCATTATAAACTACACTCCTCTTAATTTAACTGCATATTGCCTACATCCTACAAAAATCCTCCCTTTGGTTTTTTCTGCCGCGGATCAGTGCAAATCGCATCTTTTCATTGCAATTATTTTGTTCGGTGTTACCACGATTGCAGCAGAAAACCAAAATGTCTCCCCAAATTCTCCAAACACACCCCGTCCCAGACCCCTGGCAGCACCGGGGTAGCCCAGCCCGGCCCAGCGCGTGGCCGGTGCCCGGCGCTGCCGAGGAGCCCCCCCGTGCCATCCCCACCCGCGGGGGCTCAGCCCCGGCCCGGGGGACCCGCGGGGGCTCAGCCCCAGCACGGCCACTCTGCTGACGTCACCGGCTGGAATAACAGCCACATTTCCTCAGCCCTCCCGCTTTGGGGACTGTTTCGAGGTGCCACGAAAGCCTGATCGCACAGAGGATTTTTGATGGGGCCGATGTGACTGATGGTGCGGGACTGGTGGGATTTTCAGCAAAAATGCCAGAGTATTTCAGCGACTTTTAAAAGCATTTTTAGTGGAGGACATAACTTTAATCATTACTCCATGTCCAGGGCATGTGCTTAGGCCACTCCTGTCTCTAAGTTTCACCCGGTTTCTGTGCTGTCTCCTAGTGACCCACGCACAGGGAGCAGTTCGGCACAAGGCGAGGGCAGCTGGAGGGACCCCCTGCTCCACATTATTCTGCCGAGCTCACGGTGCTGCACAACTGCACCCGTGAGCAGAACAGCACGGCTGGTGCTCCTCGGTTCAAAATAAAACAGGAAAACTGAAAACAAATCAAATCCTGTCGTTAGCAGCTTGCAATTGAATCCGGGTAGCAGAACGCAGCCGAATCCGGGAGCTCCGGTCCCTCCTGCACCGGGCTCCTGCCACATTCCACAACCCGCGCTCTGCGAGAAAAATAACAGCCACGAAACCAAGACACTCACTGACGGGAAGCTTTTGTTGTATTTTGAATATAAAACACAACTCAACTGGGAAACATCAGCCTCAGAGTTCTGGTCGTGTGAAAGCATTCCCAAAATCTGAAGAGGGGAAGATTTCCCCACAGCACCGAGGCTTCGTGGGGTTTTCTTTCCTTCCTGCGGGGGACGTGCTGCTCCGTGCTGACTGCACGGCAAAAACAAGCCCAGCCACCGACAAGAAAGAACTCAAAGAAGAACAGTACAAAAACATACCAGAAATACATGGCGGATCTTTTGTAATAGCATCCAAACATGATGCTAAAACAATGCCTGACAACATTTAAAAGAACAAAAACTTGAATGTTATCTTTCCCACCCTAAGCAAAACTTAGAATGCATTAATGAAAACTTACGAAATAGCTACTCTGAGCATTTGCTATTCGGTCCCTTGAATAAAAACCTCTTTTACAGCTTTTATTTCCAAAGCTAGAATAGGAATACAGATATTTCTATAAATTATGTGCACTGCTAACATATGAAATATGTAACCAGAAACAGTTATTTTTCATAACATATCCTTTTTTACTATCAGCAATAACTAGGACAAATTGTTATGTAAGACTGAGCAGTTGAAAGAAAAACAAACCAGAAAAGCACAATCACAAAAAAATGGAAATATACAAATGGGAAAAATTTTAGTATTTATAAATACTAATGTTTTTTAGAAGGAAGCACTGTTATGAATGGTACAATACATGAATTAATTTAAGCAAAGTGCCAAAATACAAGTACTGCAAGCCTTCTATTTTTGAAAAACAAGCATTCTGAAGGTTTCAGTTTATCTGAAAAAAAATTCTTTAAAAAAAACACACCAGTGTTAAGTGTAAGGTTCCAAATGTGCAGCAATTTGGTAAAGCTCTAATTAAAATCAAAGAGATTCTGATTGACTTGAGCTTGTGAGAGCCAGCCTCCCTGGTGCCATTGTACTGCTCTGGACTTTTTCCCTTAAAAACCTTGTCATCAAATGCACCTGACCCTCAAAATTCTAAATTTTAGCAAAATAAGTACTTAAATGTACTGAATTCCTTCTTTAAAAAGAGACCAAAATACGTGCCCAGCTTGTCCCACTGGTCCCACTGACATACTAACGACATTTTTGTGATAAATTACATTTATCAGGTACCTCTGAATACTTCAAACTGGGCTTGGGCCACTAATCCACCTCCCCCAGGATTTATTCTAACATTCCAGAGTAGCTTCACACAGCCAACATTTTTATTTAAAAAAAAAGGAAAAAAGAAAAACTGTTTTCACCCTTCCCCCTAATGTGAAATGCCCTCATCCAAGGATGGGCAGCAATCATTCCTGACCCAGGGAAAGGTGTAAGGTCTGATATCTGACCCATCAGAAGCTTGCTTTCATTAGAAAGATGAGACACCAGTTTCCCAAAGATATACACACAGTGCTTGATTATAGTCCTGGGAGTTCTGGAGAAATCTGACCTTTAAAATTGCATTATTACGTACAGAAAAATCTATTTAAAGCAAATTTCAGGAACTGAGATATTTAAGTAAACTTTATTCTCCCTCTTCTTTTTTCTTTTTTTTTTTCTTTTTTTTTTTTTTCCCCAGAGATCCGTAAATAAGACTCAGGATAACAAAAAGTATCTGATATTACTGATCCCTGTCTTCCTCCGTACCGATCCTATTCCATCTCACTCCCCCAAGGCGTGCTGGCTGAGCACAGAGGCATTTCCCAGCCCGGTGTTCCAGGGCTGTGGCTGTGCCCGCTGGCTGGAGTCGCCTTGCACAGCTCGCTCATGGCTTCACCCCCCCAGTGTGAGGGATAAAACTGACCCTCTGCACCGCACAGCCCACAGCCACTCGCACGGATGGACAGCTATTTTTATCTTCTAGCTACCACAAACGAATATTTCTCCAAGTTTGAAAGGGCGCCCAATCTGTGTCAGCATAGTTTCACATGTTTGCTCTTTTGGGCTAATAAAATCCCAGAGAAAACAAATTCTGATTTACCGTGTCTCCCCTCCCCTTCCCTTCCCGTGAGCCGCTGCCGCTGTCAGTCCTCGGGGGCACACACAGCAGGGCACCATGTCATGTCACACTAGGTGCTGGGATTCAACAAAGGCCAACATGTTGATATCTTTTTATTGTTCAGCAGCCTGGTTACTCCGTTTCCCCCCCTCTACAATTGGACACCTTTGATAATACGGGAAGTTCTGAAGCAGTAACATTTCTATTTCCAGTCAGGAAAGTATTTTTGTTTTTACAAAGCAATAGTCTCTGATCTTGCTTTTTAGGTTGCTAAGTACGATCCTTTATTTTACAGAAACTAATGATGGGACTCGGGAGGGTACATTTCTTTGCAAATAATGTAAATATTTACATTGCCAAATAACACTTTCTTAGGTAGCCTGAAGACTGCTCTAAATTCTTTCCTAATCAACAAAAATATCTAAGGTGTTACTATCCACAGAGGCAGAAGTTTCACTGATCTACAAGTACAGCTACCACAGGGTGGTTTATTTTCTGCAGAAGTAAAAGGTAAACCCCATGGATGCGCTCCCTGCCCCGCGAGGGTGAGATGGCAGCGGCCCACGGGCAAGCTCTGGGTTATTCCATGTGCAGCGCCCGGGCCATGGAGGAATCTCTGGGAGTTGGTGAGGGCTGCGGCACGAAATAACGTGTTTTGTTGTAATTCCTAAACAGGGGGACATTTATCTGGGCCATTTATACAAGAGTTATAACCCTCACAATATTTATACTCAGCATGTCATGTTAGCATTTACTACCCGTTTCCATGGAGATGGATTTTCATGCTGTAGCTATGAAATGCACATTGTTGCCACTAAGCCACTTCAGGCCTTTCTGGAAGCCTGCTGAATGCCTGACAAAAGTTGATGCAAACCAATAGTTGTTGTTCTTTGTTTGTTGCCAGACTTCTAGCAGAGCCATATTATGTCCTAGTGATTGAAGTGCCCATGTTCGCCCCCCTCCCGGCACAAAAAGGATCCTCAATTTCGGTGACAAGCATGAAGTGGGCTTCTGCTGGGGAGGGCGGCCCGGCGCGGGGCCGGGCTCTGTCCCCGCGCGGGGCCGCGGCGCGGCGGGGGCCGCTCCCGACAGCGCCTGACATTTGGGGATAAAGCCGGAATAACAGAGAGAGCGGCCAGCGCCGGGGCCAGCGCCGAGCTCAGCTCCGGGCTCTTCCCGCTGCTGCTCCGGTCTCTCGGCCGGGCCCTGCCGCGCTCCCTCCGCGCCCGACGGCCGCTCCGCCGGGCCGGCCCGCGGCAGCACCGACAGCCCCGCCGAGCCCCAGCCCAGCCGCCGGGCAGTGCCAGCGGGCGCTCCGCGGGCCGGGCGGTGCCGGGGCGGCGGCGGGACGGGGCTCGCCTCGGGCAGGAGGGATCCGCGGGGCGGCTCCGGGCGCGGCGCTGCCCGGGCCGGGCCGCCCCACCGCCGTCCCCTCCGACGGCGCCGCAGGGTCCCAGACCGCGGCGGGCCCGGGGGCAGCGCCCTTCTCGGGTCGGACACCGCGGCTCGGTGTCCCCGGTCCCGTCCGTGCCCGCCGCGCCGCCTGCGCCGGGGTCCCCGCTCGCCGGAGCCGCCACCCCGTAGCCGTGGGCCCCGGCGCGGGGCTGCTCCGCTCCGCCGGGCTCGGCCCGATCGGGAACACGCTCGCAGCCCGCAGCGCACCCCGGGCCGGGCAGGGCTGCCCCGGCGGGACCCCCGTCACCCCCCGCGCCCTTACTGTTGGTAGTCCTGCTTGCAGTAGAGCTTGCGGTCCCGGAAGTAGCAGCTGGTGGTGAGCGCCTGCTGGCAAGCGGCGCACTGTAGGCACTCCTCGTGCCAGGAGGACTCGTTCACCCGCATCAGGAACCGGTCCGAGATGGGCCGCTGGCAGCCCTCGCAGACGGCCTGGTGCTGGCACTCCGACCCTGCAACGGCAGACGGCGGCGTCAGGCGCCGGCTCTGGCCCCGACACAGCCCCGACACAGCCCGGCCCCGTTCCCCAGCCCCGGTCCCGGGCAGCCCAGCCCGCCCGGCCCAGCCGCGCGGCGAGACCGAGCTCGACGGCTGCCGCCGGCACCGCGTCCCGCACACGCGGCGAGACAGTCCCGCGCCCGGCGCCAGTCCGGGGCTGAGCGGCTACAGCCCACATCAGCCCAGGCCCCTCGGAGCGCAGCCCCGGGTACCGAGCGGAGCGCGGGGGCCGCTTTCGGCGTAGCCGAGAAGTGACCGGCAACTCACCCAGCAGCACTCCCAGCGTGGCCGGCCCCGAACGCAGGGGGTGGTCTTCCATTTTAATACCGTCCAGCATCTTGGCGCAGTCCGGCGGGCCCCGCGGGAAACACCTCTCCAAGGACTCGGGACCCGTCGCGATGTCCATGGGCGGCGGCGCGGCCCGGCGCTCTGGGCGGCGGGGCGAGGCGCTGCCGGGCGGCGGGGCCGGCTCAGCCCCGCGTCGGGCCGGGCGCGGGGACACTCTGCGGCCGGGAGGAGGGAGTCGCTTTTATTTTTATCTGGGAGACATGAGGAGCGTTTCCTGCCCAGGCTTCCAGAGACGGGGGGCAGAGGCAGGAGCCGGCGCCGCCGCCCATGGGGCCGCCCCGCTACACGGGCGCGCACATGCCGCGCACACGGCGCCGGGCAGCCGCGGTGTCACCTGCTCGCCGGCAGCGCCGGACCCACGCCCTGCGCGGCGCGGAGGGCCCTCCCGGGGCGGGCCGGGCCGGGCGGAGCGCGGGCGCGGTGGGCCGGGCGGGGCGCGGGGCTCCCGGCGCTCCCAGCCCCTGAGCCGTGCGGCGGCCCGAGGAGCCGCGCCGTTTAGAGCAGGGGCCGCCGCGGAGGAACACACCCCCCGGCGCCTCACCCCTCCTCAAACTTGCTGACATTTGAACTCCATTGGTGCGCGCCGTATCGCTGCGCCGCGGTGATCCGTCTCCTCGACGTCAAATAGTGCCCTGGCCCCGCCGGGCCCCCGCGGCCCCCGACGCGCGGCGGCGCCCGGGGCGCGGGGCGGCCGAGAGACGCGGGCAGTGCGGGCCCGGGGCGCGCCCCCGCGGGCCGGGGAGGGGGAGAACGATCTCGGCCGAGGGTGGCGGCGGAGCGGGGACCCGCCTGCTCCGCTCCCCGGTCCGCGCCCCGCGCCGCTCCCGACCCGACGGCTGCTCCTGGCTCCTGCCCTGTCCGGGGTAGGTAGCAGCGCGCGTCCAGCGCCGGGCCACGGGCAGGTGGCGAGGGGACCCTCCCTCGGGGCGCCCGGCCCCGGCGGGGGCGCGGGTCTGTCCCGCGGACGGCGGCGGCGGGACCGGCCCCGGCGGGGACGCGGAGTGCGGCGCGGGGGGGGTTGCACCTCTGAAAGGCGGCTCCGGACCGTCTCGGCGGGGCTGCGGGCGGGAGAGCTCGAGCAGAGCAGCGGCCTGAGGGCTGCGGATGCTCCCTCGGCGGCGACCCCGCGCCCGCTTCTGTGGCAGCGCTGCCCGCTCGGGTTGGCCGCTCACGCGTTTGAACGCGCAGGGACTCGGTGCGGAGCGCAGCGCGAGTGTTCACACACCCCGTGTGTGTGCGGGACAGCCCTGTCCGAACTCACCGTGCCGGGATTCCCTCTGAGGAAACAAAACCGACGGGAAAAGCGATCCCCACCAGCCTGCCCGTGCGCACGGAGCACCGGACCCCGCGCCACCGCCTCCCTTTCGATTTTGTTTTTCTGGGGGGAATTGTGTTTTGGTTTTTTGTTTTGTTTTGGTTTGGTTTTTTTTCTGTTTGTTTGTTTTGGGTTTTTTTTCTATCCGATACCGTTAAAAATCTAAATCTGAGGAAATTAAAATCCAGAAAGGATTCAGTGAGGAGATTCTTAATGTGACCCGTGATATGCCATGACCCTGCCAAAGGAAGGAGTTTATTTTGTAATGCTCCCAAAATATTGATACTTAATAAGCAGGGCAAGTGTTAACTTGAATTACTTAATGCTTCTCTTCTTTGGGTCTTAAGATAAAGCCTCTTTTTATGCCGTTTTCGTACGCAAAAATCTCTGAAAGAAATTCGTGACTACGTTTTAGTTAAATATTTTGGAAAGGGTTTTCAGTAATAGAGCTTATTTGGTTTTTGTTCTGGAGAGTACAAATCTGAAAATCTTTGTCGCTAATGCTGAAAAAATAATATATGATTATTTAATTCTGAGATCAAGATAAAGGCTGCTAAAATTTCAAAGTTCAATCAGCGGCGAAAAAGCTGCTCGTTCACATTAATATTTTATGTTCCCTTCCTATTTTCTCTTAAGGATTCAAAGTTCTCCATCACAGAGGGCTTCCGTCAAATTATCTTCCACAGTTGCGAGGAAAATTAGAGCCCCCATTTCCTCAGGAGTTTTCATAAATTCTCGTTATAAAAAGAAGAACGAAAAGAAGAAAACCCAAAACCCAGCCAAAAGGCAGCTCTAAGTGGCGGGACTTGGAAGCCGAGCAGGAGTCCCGAGCCCCGCAGCCGCAGCAGTAATTCCGGCTTTGTTCCTGGGTTTTTACTCGCAAATATCACACCAAATTGCTTCTTGCTATGTGTATGTACGAACACTGTGCCGAGTAAATGTTATCCCCGCTCCTGCCCTGAGAACAATTCGATGAGGTGCTATATCGGTTTATATGATGCTTTTAAAGAAAAACAAAATGCAATTAAAACACCCACGCGCAAAACCATCACAGAAATAAACCCAAACCAGACTAACGCAGCCCCACCTCCCCGCGGCTTCCTTCGAATTCTCCGTTTATTTGCAAGGCACATCTCCTTGTTTTGGGTTAATTTTGAGAGTCGAACAAGGAACGCAGCCGGTCCCAATCCTGCCCTTCCCAGACGAGGCAGGAGGAAGAAGCACCGGTTTAACGAACAGCGGCCGAACCCGCGGAGGAGCCGCCGCGCCGAACGCGCTGCACCAAATCTCCGCCGGCCTCCGGGACGAACCACCCGGTCTCCGCTCCTCGCCCGTCGGTCCCGCCCCGGCGCACACGCTCGCGGGTAGCCGGCGCTGCGGGGAGCGCGGCGGGACCCCGGCGGTGTGCGGGACAGAACGGCGTGTGACCCGGGGGGGCCGCGGGCGTCTGGGCACGAGGGCGGGGTGGCGCCGGGCGTTTTCCGCGGCAGCGTGCGGGCCCGGCGGGTACGTGTCTGTGCGCTCCGGCTGCCCCACGCCCCGTTTCTGCCCAAGCGCATTCTCGGATGCCCGCACGCGGATTTTTCCCGGTACCGACGCGCGCCACCCGCTCCCGCGGTAAGGCGGGCGCGACCCGCGGTGCGGTGCGGTGCGCGCCGTGCGGTCCGGCCGTGCGGCGGGGCTGCCCCGCGAGGTGCGCGGCCGGCCCCGCGCGTGCGGGGGTGCCCCGT